AAAAAAAATATATATATTTAAAATTTTCCCTTTTTCTATTCTTTATCTCTATTTCAGGATATGCAGTGCATGAGTTATTACTCAAATTGACGGCGAATGTATTATTTTTATTCGCCGTTTCATACAATCATCGTTTGCTTGCTATAATGGTGAGTGCACGACATTCAAGTTATTCTTACACATTCGAGATGAAAACTCAGACGAATTGAACATGAAATGTTTAAAGACGACAAAGATATCGTGCACTCAATATTCCATTGCTTGACAAACACCGGTTGTTATCATGCGCTGCGTATTCTCATTCCGTTAAGTCGTCTTTTATCGCGTCTTTCCGTTTCTACTTCTTCTCGTTCTTCCTAACAGAAGAATAAAAATAATTTTCTAACTAATGGAGCTTTTGAGGGTGGCTCTAAAACAATTGAACCTTCCCAGGGATATCCGACGTTCTGTTGGTGACCCGTGCAGGCGTGCAGATGGTAGGCCTTCATAGCATACATCAATGTATGTATGAATAGAAGCGTCCATTTCGTCATCGTCTTTTCGAAGATGATGATCATGGTCGTACTATTCATACATACATCGATGTATGTTTGCCTAACCATTGCCGGCTTTGTCCACTGTACGAGCCGGTAGAATACGGAGGGTATCTCTGGTTGCGCGTGCGCGAAATACTGCTGCGATTGGGCGAGCCAAGTTTTAAGATGGCCAATTTATTTTCTGTTTAAAAACAAAAAAAAACAATTACATTTTCTTTTTTACATTTTCAATGCTTCTTTTCGACTTCGCAATGTCGGGATGATTGGACGGAAGTGATTTCTGTCGTATCTCAAGTCCTTTTTGCAGAAATGAGAGTGCTTTTGAGTACTCGCCCATGTCATCATACACATTACCGATGTTGTTGTAAGATTGAGCGAAGTCGGGATGATTCGGAGGGAGAGCTATTTTCATGATTTCAAGTGATCGTTCATACGATGAAAGTGCTTTCGAGTACTCGCCCATGATGCCATACACCGCGCCGATGTTGTTGTAGGAAGCAGCCAAATCGGAATGATTCGGAGGGAGAGCTATTTTACGGATTTCAAGTGATCGTTCATTCGATGAAAGTGCTTTCGGGTACTCGCCCATTTTGGCATATACAGTACCGATGTTGAGGTAGGAAGTAGCCAAGTCGGGATGATTCGGAGGAAGAGCTATTTTCTTGATTTCAAGTGATCGTTCATACGATGAAAGTGCTTTTGAGTACTCGCCCATGTTATCATACACCAACCCGATGTTGTTGTAAGATTGAGCCAAGTCGGGATGATTCGGAGGGAGAGCTATTTTACGGATTTCAAGTGATCGTTCATACGATGAAAGTGCTTTTGAGTACTCGCCCATGTTATTATACACCAACCCGATGTTGTTGTAAGATTGAGCCAAGTCGGGATGATTCGGAGGGAGAGCTATTTTACGGATTTCAAGTGATCGTTCATACGATGAAAGTGCTTTCGAGTATTCGCCCATGTTATCATACACCACGCCGATGTTGTTGTAGAACGAAGCCAAACTGGGATCATTTGGAGAGAGAATTTTCTTGTAGATATCCAGTGATTTTTCGGAATATGAAAGTGCTTTTGAGTACTCGCCCATGCTATGATACACCGCACCGATGTTGAGGTAGAACGAAGCCAAACTGAGATCATTTGGAAAGAGAATGTTTTTGTAGATATCCAGTGATTTTTCGTAATATGAAAGTGCTTTTGAGTATTCGCCCATGTCTTTATACACCCAGCCAAGTTGATGATTGTACTCCGCTCGGTCTTCATCAGCAGATGCCTTTGCAAGGAGGATCTGACAGAGTTGTTCGACTTTTGCAGGTTCGCCTACTTTAATAAGTATGCGACCAAGTCGAGACCATCCTGTGCGCTCACCAAGTTCCTCACGTATGTGTGCTGTAAGTGTGTTCAACTCATGATTGTCATTACCGACAATAGTGAGATTAACTTCGTATAGCCGATCACAGTGATTATCGTGAATTTGTTCAATGCGATCGATACGAAAAATCGCATGTGTTGAAAAGAGTATTTCTTCCTCTTTATCTTTGTAGTAGGCAACTTTGCTTACTTCCGCAAATGATGTCGATGATTTTGTACAAATATTCGTATCAATGTTCATAATGAAAAGAACACCAACTGAATTTGGATTAAATGATGCTGGTTGTGCAAAGTTGAAAGATATCTCACGATTACGACTTGTCGACAAGAAATTATTAAAGGACATAAGTCCTCCTTTGGTTTGTTTCATTTTTTCAAAATCTTCCATGGACAAACCTTGTCCACGAAAGACTTGAAATTTTGTTGGCATGTTTCCTTGTTGTTCATAATGTAATTTTGTAATATGTTGATGTAAATGACGAATGAAAAAGCCCATTTTAAGGATGATGTCAACATCCATTTCTCGAAGACCACAATTAAGCATTGAGTAGATAAAATATGGACCTGTGTACCACCAAATGGGTGAATGATTACGATATTCTTCTTCAATCTTTTCAAGTGTTTTTTCGGAAGCATCGCTTTGAAGACGACAGTATTCAACGAGTTCCTTAATCGATTTTGCATCATCATCTTCTATTTGCAGAAGTGCTTCTTTTAACAATTGTGTATACATAAATAATGGATCAATTCTATTAAAACTTATCGAGATCATAGCTCGATCACAATTTTCTTGATCTATTTGTAATGCTTTACAAATCAGTTCGATTTGTGTGTATATACCTTTTACCTTAGGTATTGTTTTGGCCCATTCCTCATGAATCGATTGATTGTCACATACAATATAAATTGAGACTAACTGTGGGCATTCTTGAATTACTGGTATTATATGTTGTCCCAGGGCACCAGAGATGATCATAAATACATTTTCATTTTCAATATCACTTAGAAAATCAATACATTCGTCAATGTCTGTAAATGTTGTCACTGTTTCTAAAATATTTCGTAAATGTTGTATTGATTTTTTATAATCGCCTTTGGATTCATCGAAATCGGTATCAAGCCATACCAGCAGAGAGTTTTGAAGCTCTCGACGCCTAGGTCGAGGCAGCACAGCAGCAGCACGATTGTTCGCGTTGGTAATAGTGGTGGTGCTAGGCATCGCTGTTGCACCACTGATAACAGTTGTTGTCGACTTTTGTTTGCTCATTGTAATCGAACGAATGAATATAATCTGTGAAACGAAGTCCCCTATATTTATAATTGTTAAATTTTTTGTTGGTTAACATCATTCCTTTTCTGACTTGTGGCTACAGACTTCAAGAACCTCTACTATCTGGTTCATTTTTGTTTCAAGAGTGTTACTGACAAAATACATCGAACCATAAATAAAGAAGAATGGCTAAGGAAACAAATAGTCGCTGAGGACGGACGACATCACTAGTCAGAAATGTCGAAAATACCTGTCTTAACTAGTTATCCTGACATGAAAACTCCTGCAGCTACGTCTGAACTAGTCCAGAATGTCTTCAAACTTCGACATGTCTAACCCGTTTCTCTATCTAATCAATCCAGATTAGTCGATAGACCAGAAAAAGAATATTTCTAAAAGTAAAAATTGTGCCTTTCATTGCTGGTACTCGCGTTAAAATTTATGCATAGAAACAGTTACTCTGTTTAATATGTTTTACAATAAGATTGTTTTATACATACAAGATTCTGCAACCAAGACAATCGGTTGCATGTATCATCAAGCGAAGTTCTCGTAAAACTACTTTATCAACATAAAAATAACACATGTTTATGTACCGTCATTTTTTTTGTGTGTAGCTACTCTTTACTTTTAACTTTAATTTTCTTACTAGTCTAATAATGTTAGAAACTAAATATACTTACGTGCTATGTAATATTGGAGTGTAGCAAATTTTGTTTTGTGTGCTTGCAATCGATTTTATTCTGTATTTATCATTGACAAAATTACTTGGTTTTTTCCCACAAACGTATATTTACATGAATCAATGAAGCATGACTTTTTCATCATGTAAACGACTTTTTCGACCATGTGTTCGTCATAAAATACGTTTCGTTTTTCATATATTCTACTTCTTCCTTTTTTACCTTACCTTTGCGTTTCGTGTTGTTGCAATGATAAAATATTCACTGATACTTGTATAAGCGTAAATTTGTGGTATGATGAGTCATTAGGCTTTGAACTTTATTCTAATCTCTATATAAATATTTTCTATCGTAAAATTTTTTTTGAAATTGATAATTATAGAAGTAGTGTTGAAAGCTTCAAAATAAATAAATGAAAAATTTTATATTTTTTATTTTATCGTTCGATGTATGAAAAACTCTATTTATCACTCAAACTTCGTTAGATGCATCCGAAGAAAGTATGGCGAATGTGCTTTAAGAAGACTCAGGCATTTTGAGAAGTGGATGTGAGTGTTTGTATTGCTTATCCCTACACATCCCGACCCTCAATTATTTGGTTTAAATATCTAAGAATTTCAATCATAATCAAGCAATAATCAACAATCAATGAATAGAAGTAAAAAATATTGATACAAATGAATAACATCTTTCTATCAGTATTCAACAAATAATGAATGATTTTAATTTCAATGTAAATCTTTTTTTAGTGTGTTGATATAGTATGTTATATTTTTTTACAACATAATGATCATAATGTTGCATCAAGTTCATTGGAAACACATGAAATTATACTTAAATATTCAAATTTATTTGATTTTGATCAATTATTAATTTCAACGCAAATTGGATCTATAGAAGAAAATCGTGTTAGTGAAGCCTTAAAAACAAGTAAATATTGAGGAAAAAAAACAAGAATTTTTTTTTCATTTGTTTTTTTTTCTAAAACAATAGCTTATTCAACATATCAACGTTGATTTATTGAAATGAATGATGAATTCGATTCAACATCAATGATTAATAATGAAAAATGAATATCAGCTGCTAAACTTGTTAAGCAATTATATTTTTTCCGATTAGATATATGCTTAATATGGATGGCACGATAAAAAGTGATGATGAATCATGTATTAGTGTTAAATGTGCTATATCAATATGTCTATCGTATTTATAAACAATTTGATCCATTTGTTTATCTTACTAAAAGTATGTTTAATTCTTGTTTGACTTTTTTTTATAATCCAAAATTATTTCTAATGTCGTAACAGTAGGAGGGCCTAGGTGAAGGGGATTGTGGCAGAGTTTAGTTGACGTGGCTTCAATTGGTTAAGGTCTCAAAGTTTTAGTGAAAGTTATCTGATAGATATGACAATTTCACTATTAAATTGTTGAAACATATACATATATTGGAATCCGAAAATTCAAGAACGGAGATTTCTGAATATTGATTCAGCAGCTCTAGTCCTATTCCTACTTTTAATTTTTTTGAAACCAACAAAAGACTAGAACATTATCAGACTCGAAAAGATATCAAGTAGAGCACTTTATTGAAGCTCAAAGCCTGCATTTATACATCGATGATTGAAATTATACAATCATATAACTACCTCAAAAAAGTTCTAAGCCGAAGTTCGAGATATGAAATCAACTGTATCCGCTAAGGAATTTTTCATTAGTCTTTGAAGATGTCTGATTAAATATAGTTTTGTAATCGATATGAAATTTCCTAATGAGAAAAATGAAATTCTCATCTCTATATGACTTGAAATACATTAAAATTTATGGAACATCAAGGTATCTTTTTTTTCTTTTCTTTAGGATATTACACATCTTTTATCTTTATGTGAACACGGTGATCTACATTTCCGTGGTGCATGTGCAAATTTACTTGTTACATTAATTCAAACAACAAATCATCTTTTAACACTATCATCATTATCAAATTCATTTAATAATTCTTTTATTAATCAATGTTCACTTGTATCAACTGATTCACAAGATAGTTCAAGGTTATATGTCTTAATGATAATAATGCACGTGTTATACATGTTTTATTAAATGCTTTACGAACATTATTACCTTTTTTTATTAAATAATAGTCATGCATTTACAATCATAGGAATTAAATTATTAGAAGATTCTATTTAACATACTACAAGTTCCTGTACTCTTGCTAAAGTAGATAAAAGAAATTTATTATTATAATATTTTTTTTTGTATGTATATAAAATAGGTTAGTCTAGCTCAATTGATAGATGATATTGATTTTCGAATATTAACTTATCTTGAACAACAACAACAATTAAAACAACAGTACCCTGATATACGTGTTCGTCAAGCAACTGCTTCGACTTTTACTAAGTGTGTATTTTGTAGAAATAATAACTACGTAGCTTTTTTCGAATTTGAATGAATAAGTCGAGTTTATTGCATTAAGTTAGTTATTAGCTACTTTTTTGATTTTAAGGTTTTGTTGATCACAATTCATTTTTACCTTGTCAATGGATATATAAAATTCATCATTCATTACAAGCTCAAGCATCAACTCGAATACAAATTGTTTGTTATTTTTTGTCTTTTATATCGGTTGGATGTTTAGAAGATATTTATGTTCTTTCAAATGTTTTAAGACCAACAACAATTCGACCAATTTTTTCATAATCAATATGATGAACTTCGTTTATTTATAAATTTTTTTAAACATCCCTTTATATTACATGATCTTAATAATTTAATCTTTTCAAGTAAAGAGAAAAAAAAGATATTTATTATGTTTTTTTTTGAATTCTTTCTTTTTATTTGAAGATTTATCAAATCTCAGCAAACGAAAAAATGTTTTGAAAGTAGCACAAATGATTCAAGTAATTCGAAAAATTGAACTATATTATCATCATTCTTTTGGACAGAATATAGTTGATATTTCAGTTTTCACAGAAGAAGAGAGTTTCAAAGTTTTAGATTTGAAGAATATATTTGATCATGTCTTATCTAAAGGAATTCATTTGTTTTTCTTTTTAAAGAGAATGATAAAGATTCATCAACAACATCAAGCGCAGACAAAGATAAAAAAGTTAATCGTACACAATTAGGTACTTTTGGAAATTATTCGAATTAATACGTTCATCTTATCAATTACATAAAAGTTTATTAAATTCATCAGAAATGATCATTATTATCTATGAAATCAGTTCTAAGTCTTATTTCTACACAAGATTTATCAAAAAAATTTGAAAGAAACATTTAATTATTTTGAATCAACATTCAATATACACAAGAGGTAACTTCTTCTAAATAATAAATATTTATTGTAAAGAAAATTTCAATTATTAATCTTTTTTATTCATCGGGTTAAGCTAAAACCTTTAGGATGTTGTATTGTGTCGGGAACTTGTCTATGAATAAAACTTTAGATGGAAATCTTATAATCAAGGTTTCTGAAAGGGTCTTTCCTAGAGAAGGAAAATTTCAATATAAGAATGTCATAGTAATAGAAAAACTGATTTTACAAATATCGATGATCTTAACAAGAGTAGTTTTGTTGTGAAAGTGTCAGATCTTTTGATTCGATTCTATCTTGAAATTCGAATATTAAATCATCTAGTTTACGTGAGCGATCTGCAAGAAATGCTATCAATTCGAAATTTGAAAATCATTTTTTCTGTTAACACAACATTCATTTAAAAATATTCTTTTAATTTAGTTTTTATTAAATCTTCAAGTGTTTCTTCACAAGTATTATTAAATAATTCTTTAACTTATATTCATACGATAAGTATTCGACAATCGATAATTTATTTTATTTGGTTCATGTTATGCATCAAGTATAAATAGTGCAATACGAGAGTAAAATAAACAAAAAAATGAATTTGACCTATTCTGTTGTTTTTGTTTTCTATTTTAGTTTTTATTGAACTATAAAATTAGTCTTAAAAAATATATTAATAGAAGTGAAAGTGATTTTCAAGCTGCTGTACTCGATTTACTTGTTTAATTACTTTTAATTCGTGTTAATTATGATTAATTAGAAGCTGATGAAATTCGTTGCATTTCTAATCTTTTCGTTTATTTTTAAATAGCATTTTATTTATTGTATTGCTGAATTTCTGGTTATGTTATCACATGATACACTTCATTCAAAACAAGTTATTAGAATACAAGATTTAATAAAACATTATGATTCATTATTAGCAAGTGGACATGAACCTGAAACACATAGTAGGAAGCAAAAAAAAAACATTTTCGAGAAAAAGAAATTATCGTTAAAATTCTTCATTTAGCTTTGGCAGCATTAGAACCAGTTTTATATGATTTTTTTTCTTGTTCGAGTTATGCGAATAATTAAAATTCCTAAAAAGTTTTATTAAATGAGAGTGAA